AAGCCCAGATGAATACGGACACAGTTTTTGTTTTATCCAGCTGTATTTACTCAGTGCAACTTATAACATGTCAGTACAACATGTCAGAAAAAAAAAAAATAATTCTATACCCACTGTATATCAACAAGAGATGTATTTTGCAGATGTTTTATTTCCAGACCATTAGTATATCCATGCAGCTGTGATCGGTTGGACCAGTCCTCAATTTCAACGAAACATCCATTTAAAGAGTCGAATTATTCGAAGACAGAATTAACTTATGTATAATACTTAACCTATCATAAATTAGTAAGTTGGAATTTTAGTAATACAAATGAAATGCCAGGAAAGTTGTTGTGTTAATATTAATACCAAAAATGTCAGCAAAAGTTCACTGCTTCATAATAATAAACAACCAACTTAAAAAATAACCTTATGTTATAAAAAGAGTTTTACATAAGGAGGACACACTGAGGATCCCAGGGAATGTCTCTGGAAGCTGGAAAAAAAATTGGAAGTGATTTGCAGCATTAAAATTACATATAGAACAGGAGCATATTACATTCTGCTCTAGCTAACACTTTCAACATGACTCCTGTCTTCCAGTAGACACCATAGAGATGAGTGAATATTAAACATAGTGAAATATTAAACATAGGTGAAAATTAAAATATACACTGCTCCTTCAACCTAAAATTTGTTTCTATTCAAAAGATAAACTTGGTGACTTTTGGAGTAATAATTATTTTATGCTATATTTAATTTATGCTATAAAAATTATTACATGCAGTTGTTGCATGTAAGTGAATATGTTAAGGGTCAATAAAGTTTACGCTAATGTAGTCAGGTTGATTCAGTTAATACAAAATATTTTCAAATACCCAAAACCAGTTAATTTAGACGCTACCACATTTTTTAATTGTATTTTTAATGTTTTTATTTCATTTTACTTTTCATTGGTAAGTGTGAAAGTGTACATTATATACATAACAATTAATTCATTTAATTTATAGTAATTACATTTTTTGTTGTTGTTGTTGTTGACTTATTACATTTGTTTACAGTGTGCAATGGACAACCTGGAAATGCACCAAAAAAAAAAAAAAAAGTTCTGTGAGATGTCTGTTTTCCTCTACTCGCTCTCTCACTTCAAGCAATGCTGTGTGACAAGGTTTCCCATAATGCCCTGTGCATCATCATCTCAACAGTCTGTGAAATAGAAAGTTGAAAGTACTTGAAAGCAGCAACCTTGACAGTGAGTGATACCAGTGTCTGTTGTGTGTATGTTGGAGAGAAGCGCACAAATAACACTATCGATAACTCAGGCTAAGAACTAATACTAGAAAAGCTTTGAGTTTGCTGGTGGCAGAGGGTGTTACTGTAAATGCAGGCTGTTCCCATGAACCGGTGCCAAGGAGAAGTAAAGAAATAATGGAGAGAGAGGGAAAATGCCCCATCGCTCCATCCTCACTCGCCTCTTAGAGACAGAGCCTGAGGGCATTAAGAGAGAGTATGAGAACTGGAACAAAAGGAAAAGTAAGGAGTCCTTCTCTTTGCCCTCTTACTTTGAGCTTGTTACCCAATAATATAAGTAGGAAAGATATACACTTCTCACTGATGCCTCCAATGAATCTCAACCTCTATTTGCAGCTAAACCAGACACCATAACTGCATCAGATGTCCCTTTTTTCCGAAGTGCTCTTTCGATTCTGTTAACTCAATTTGCCTCACTGTTGTACCGAATGGCCGGAAAGACGAATCAGACCGGATCTCCCTAAGATTAACAAACCTTTCCGTGAGTCAGACAGTCTATCAAACAGAAATGATAAGGGGAAACTACTTCCTGTCTGTTTCCACACACCTCCAGTTTTATTATCATCCTCATTAGATAAGAGGGTCAGGGATTAAGAGAATACATGTAACATTAAAAGCAATACAAAATATGACTAACTGTTTTCTGGTGATCAGAGTACTTGATTTTATTGACATTTGAAAAATGTACAGTCGTGGTCAGAATTATTGGCACCCTTGGTAAATATGACCAAATAAGGCTTTGAAAATAAATCTGCATTGTTAATCATTTTTATCTTTTATTTAAAAAAAATCACAAATATCTAACCTTTCATTGAACTAAAACAATTGAAAATGGGGGAAAATCTCATTATGAAATAAATGTTTTTTTCTCAAATACACGTTGGACACAATTATTGGTACCCCTAGAAATGCTTATGAGTAAAATATCTGTGAAGTATATTCCCATTCATATTTACAATTTTGAGAATACCAGGGTGATTATGAATTCCCATTTCCACCATCAGGGCAATAATTAAGAATTTCCAATCAACAGAAAATGTTACAAATCTGCCTGGAAGAGGACGTGTGTCTATATCGTCCTAATGCACGGTGAGGAGGAGAGTTTGAGTGGCTAAAGACTCTCGAAGGACCACAGCTGGAGAAATGCAGAAAATAGTTGAGTCTCAGGGTCAGAAAACCTTAAAAAAAAAAATCAAACAGCACCTACACCACATGTTGTTTGGGAGGGTTTCAAGAAAAAGAATCAAGAAAAGAAAATGCTCTCATCCAAAAACAGTCCCTAGCATTTTCTGTTGTCAGACATGACTGGAACTTCAAATGGGACTGGCTTCTATGGTCAGATGTAACTAAAAAATTAGCTATTTAGCAACAAACACTCAAGACGGGTTTGGTGCACACAGGGATAAAAAGTACCCCATGTGTACAATAAAATATACTGCTGTATTTTTAATGTTGTGGGCCTATATTTCTGCTGGAGGTCCTGGACATCTTGTTTAGATACATGGCATCTTTGATTCTATCAAATACCAACAGATAAAAAAATCAAAAAGTGACTGACTCTGTTAGAAATCTTATAATGGGCCATGTTTGGATCTTCCAACTGGACAATAATCCAAAAATCAAACCTTAAAAACAACACAAAAATGGGTCACTGGGCACAAGACCAAGCTTCTGCTATGGCCATTCCAGTTCCCTGACCTGAACCCTATAGAAAATGAGTGCGGTGAACTGAAGAGGAGAAGCACCATCATGGAGCTGGGAATCTGAAGGGTCTGGAGTGATTCTGGATGAAGGAATTGTCTCTGATCTCTCGTCAGGTGCTCTCTAACCTCATCAGGCATTATAGGAGAAAACTTAACTCAGAGCTGTTATTATGCCAAATGGAGGTTTCAAAAAACATTGAATAAAAGGGTGCCGTTAATTGTGTCCAATGTGTATTAGAGAAAAA